AGGCCGTGGCTGTTGTTCTCAACAACAATGTGGTTCCTAGGCGCGACTGGTTTGGGAGTGCTTGCCATGGCGGGGGAGTTCTTACTTGGACTATTGATTACTTCTGCCTGATCTACTGCAAAGGCAGTGATGACAGGCGTGATCTTGTTCATCAGAGTCGCGACGACTGCTGCTGCTTGCTTCTCTCCTTTGCTCTTGGCCCAGGAGTCGATTAGTTCAAGAAATTCCTGGGCTATGCCCAATCTTTCTTTTCTTTCTTGTTCTGCTTTTTGCATTGCATTAACAATGCCTAGCAGGCTTGGGTGGAGTTGCCCCCCTGGATTCGGGGGCGTTGTCGATGACGATGCAACGGCTGGGGCCATTGCACCAGATGGAAGTTCTTGTAAGAAGTGTTGTGGATAATATGATGTGGGATCTATGATGATGGAGGGTGTAGGTTATGCGTATACGTCTATTTGATTTGATTTGATTTGATTGAATTTAACGTCGTGCCTGTCCACAGCTCGTGACTACTATCACGTGCTGGACGGCCCAGTCCCTACAGAACTACCCGACGCTCTAGCGCGCACTACGACACTTAGAAATTACAAAAGAGTCTGACCAGCTGTTCGCCACTTTGCTTTCCAATTTAAATGTTGCCAATTTCCCTCTACCGGGAACTTCACTTTTTTTTTAACAAGTTGTTTCAAATTACACCTGCAGAGCAAGAAAATAGGGATACATATTTCCATCTAACATTAACCCCACACCCGATCGTAAAACTTCACTTGGAAATTTCTAATGAGCTCTCTGGATTTCGTCGAAGAACTTCGTCAGCTCGACCCATTTACCGAAGGCGGGGGCACCTTCTGGCGTGCCAAGCACCCATTTGATGCCGGGACAAGGATGACGAGGTCCACCGCGAAGGCGGGCACGGTTTTTCCTATATTGCATAAGAGAAAGTGATCAGGGATTTTTTCTTCGCCGCAGGAGCAAGTCATTAGGGCATCTTCGTGTGCGAAACGTCGATGATATGGGGCGAAATCTCCGTGTCCGGAGCGAGCTGCGATGAGCGCCCCAAACGTCCGCCGATTTAAGCTTTTTAGTTCTGGGGTTATTCCTGAACTAGGACCAATTTTGAGTTCTTTATATTTACCCGGCGCCTCTTGTTCCCAGAAGGTGTCGCTGGAGGCCTTGTAGAGCTGAGCCACCTTCCTTTTTACCCTTGCTATGGACAGAGGGAGAGACGATGTAGGCATTAGACATGCTGACTTGGCTAGAGAGTCTGCTGCTTCGTTTCCGGGGATTCCAGAATGTCCAGGGCACCATCGGACACTAACTGTTCCAGCCCTAGTGCAGGATGCGCGTTTCCTTTCAGACCAGCTGGCAGCGAGTTTCCGGAATTTCGTAATTTGACGGGAACTTGTTGCGGTGGGGGGTAGCAGGAGCAGCCATAGAGCCGCTTCTTGGTTGTCTAGGTAGACAGTTACGTTGGTTGCATAAAATGCCATGGGATTGCGGATGGCAGCCGCTAGCCCCTCAGTAGCTCCAGCAATTTCAGCATCATAAACTTCTGCTGAGGTACCTAGAGGTATAGTTCCACGGGCTATCTCGTGTACCGCGCTGTTACAGGCTGCGCCTATCTCCTAGTGACTGTCGCACGGACACTTATCATTATTACGTCATTAGCCTTGCTATCTAGAGAGATGTCCAACTTGGCCATACAAATACAGGGTTGCAACAAATATGGAAACAAGATATTGTTGCAGCAAGTCTCATATGGAATCATGGGCCGATACGACCCAGATTCGCTATGACGAGCCCACTCGGAATATCAAGGATATGATGTAGTAGAATAGATAGTGAGGTTAGCGCATTGGGAGTTGGGACACCTTAAGTAGCATCCCCTCGGTGGACAGTTCCGAGATGTATGTAGAAAATAGACAGTAATCGGCCACCATTCCTTTACTATATTGTTTTGTTGATCGCCCATCACACGCGCCACGTCTTATCGGATATCCTGCTCCTGCTCGGTCCTCGATTAACGCACCGTCGGAGAAAATAGAGAGGTCCAATATTGATTGCAGAACGAACCAACCGGAGAAGGCACCGACTCCAGCATTGCGACCAACCGCCCCAATCTTTTCCAAAGATGTATCCCGATTAAATTTCCAGGGTGGGGGAATAGAATCTTCTGAGAGTTCTGGAGAAATTCTTTGTCGGATCCACAGCATTCTTGCGGAGTTCCATCTTCTACGAAGGGGGTGCCTAGGATCTGCCGAGGCTATGCGGACGGCTAGGCGATCGTGAATACGTTCAAGCCAGGCTCGTGCCGGACCCCAACCTGTCTCCCGGAGAAGTACAGCAACTGGTGTCGTTCGGAATACAGGAAGAGTTGCTCGGTCTGCATCGTTCATCCCTTGTTGAATTCTAAGAACTAGTTCTTTTGGGGTTCCTTTGGAATACCAAGTCTCGGCCCTGTAAAGCAAGGTTGTGAAAGCTGCTCCTTGAAGTGCTTGTCTCAAGAGAAGAGGGCTTATTCCTCGAGTGATTCTTGAGAGGCTTTTTATGTGGCTCGTGATGGTCAAGGATCTACCGCATGTTTGTCTTACATGTTCTCTAAATCGAAGGCCTCGGTCAAAGATGACCCCAAGCCAGCGAGTGTGGTCGTTTGGAGTGACCTCTACTTCATTAGCGTATACGCTGGGCTCTACTGGTGATCCATGCTTTCGATGGAAGTATTGCAGCTCAGTTTTGGACACTTCAAAAGTGATGCCGTTCTCGCGCCCCCATGCGAGGGTGGAGTCTAACTGCTTCTGGAGTAGTTCTGAGCATCGAGTGAGGGATGGCGCAGACGCTATAAGTGCTACATCATCTGCGTAACCAAAGCGTTTTGGGGAGAGATTTAGGAGGCCTTCAATTGCCAGCAGGAATGGGATTGGAGAGGCGGGCGACCCTTGTGGAAGCCCACAGTGGATTTCGAATGTTGGAGATGTAGTTCTATCAAGTATGATTGAAGCTTCTCGCTCAGACATAAAAGAAGACACCCACTGTACTACATTAGGGGGCCAGCCTTGACCCCGTAAGCAGTGACAGAGGCGGCCTTTTTGGATACCATCAAATGCTCCTTTCACATCTACTGTGACCATGCCAGTCACCTCTTTTTTGGACCACGCATCCTGAATATCGCACGACAGTGCTGTGGTGAGGTCTGTGGCAGTAATTTTTATTTATTTATCTTTATTTAACGTCTGGCGGATCACGCGTCAAGCGAGTAACCGTATTAAGTCCCTACTGAGACAAAAGACGCATGTGGCAGTAATTTATTTATTTATTTATTTATAATACTTAACGTCGTGCCCGCGCACAGCACGTGAGCTCCTCACGTGCCGGTTAGCTCAGTCTAAATAAAACTACCCGACGTGTTGGCGCCTGAACAAACCCAACAAAGCAAATGAAAGCCAGGATCTCATCATCCTGCACTTGAAGATTAAATTATACATGGTTACCGGTCTCCCTTCAACTCTCATATATTCAGATGGTATTGAATAAAGAATAGATTAAATAAACAATATGGAGGGGGGAACTTAGCTGAATCACATGATTCCCTGTCTCTAACGTTAAAAGAGTCATCCTAAATGTATACGTAGCACCGGTCATGTGCCATAGCTAGATAGCTGAATACACATTAAATGATTTAAAAAAAAAGCCTAGTGGGGCTAAACAAGGAATCCATAAATACTGCCTGAGGCATTTCTCCAGAATCCTTACACTCTCGCTGGTAATGAGGAAGCAGCAGGCTTTTCTAGCCTACCGGGGTGTGTACTTTTTTTTTTAGGTCCTAAGCTATGATATATATCTCCTAGGAGTCAAGGACCGGTGCACACGGCCGAGATCATGCTTCCCACATACCCGACTCGGTCTCACCGCGTGAACCAATACACAACCAGTAGCTAGTTATAAGAAATAAAAATAGAAACTCTCACAAACTCCCATAACCAAAATTCCAAACCCCATAATCCTATTTGTGGTTGAAAAATGACATTTCTCGTCTCATTTTCCTATCTGTAATGCTTCATGCTGTGATCTAATTACTGCCGTCTCCGCTGAGAGCTGGAAACGGACTCGTAGGTGGGCCCCCGAAGCAGCCGGTTTCCTGCACAAATTTTGTAAAGTGTTCGAGGCAGTTAGGTCCGAGAAGCTTATGGGTAAAGTCATGATATGACAATTTCCCCCGAAGTCGACGTGTCTGGCGTGCGTGCAGTCGACAGTGAATGAAGTGGAGAGGTGATATTTTCTCTCCACACGCACACTCCATTGAAGCTGCGAAGTTGTTGAAACGGCGGTGACATGTCGCGAAGTTTCCGTGGCCCGTACGGGATGAGATCAATTCACGGAGTAGCCACCGGAAAAGTGCCTGCTCGCGTGGCTTGCGTCGTCGCATGAGAAGACCCAGGTTTCGATAGCTTGGTGGACATTCTTCGGGGAGTATACTGTCTTAGGGTTTGAGAAAATTGGAGATAACACAGGTTGATGAGACTCATGAGATTTATTTATTTTTAACGGTCTACCGGGCTTCAGCTATAGCTAGGGCCCCATCCCTTGGGGGACATGGTGACAACTACTTACTAGACTATATAAAACTAAATTGGGAGCCTGAAGGCTTTGAAAATTGAATTTGTTAGGGTGTTTTGAGCGCTGTACAGCGGGACTCCCACATGGACATGAGTCAATTAGCACAGATTGGGCAAATTTTCGAAAGGAAGTTGATCTTCTCCAAAATAACAGAAAAACGCTTAGCACCACGGGAAGAGCCAAGAAGCAAATCAAGTATGCCCAGGCTTCTTGAAACGCATAACAGCGTGCTGTTCTTGGGCGAGACTATTTAGTAAATCACATGACCAAATTCATGGATTTTGAAAGGGCGCGTTATTAGATCAGATCAAATCAGATTCCAAATTAAACCCTAGATTGAAACAAAAGGCTTTCACTTGAAAAAAGCGACTATCACGGTCATAAAGATGTCGTTATTACCAAATTCTGGCACAAGCAGTTTTCCGTTTTTACATGAAAAGCAACTTGCTGTAGAATCCCACGTAAAATACATTCAAAACCTCAATAGTGTGCGACTTGACCCTATATTTATCCAACATCACTGACTTCCTCAGCGGGAAGATGAGCTTGAATACTGGCTTACGGAACATCTACGACTTAATGGTCTATACTGGGGATTGACTGCGATACATCTCCTCAAACGTCCTAGTGCTCTTCCTCGTCAGGAAACAATTAACTTTGTGCTCAGTTGTCTAGATGAGAGCGGAGGCTTTGGAGCAGCGCCAGGACATGATCCTCATCTACTATACACATGCAGTGCAATTCAGATATTAGTCACAATTGATGCTTTAGAAGAGTTAGAAATACGGAATAAAGGAGGAAAATTACGTACTGCTAAGTGGATCGCGGCCCTCCAAAATACAGAAACAGGAACTTGGGCCGGGGATGAATGGGGCGAAGAAGATACTCGATTTTTATACGCAGCGCTTAATTCTCTATCTCTGCTAAAAATGCTTCACTTGGCCAATGTTGAGAAAGCGGGAGATTTTGTCGTCTCCTGCGAAAATATTGATGGCGGCTATGGCTCTGCACCAGGTGCGGAGAGTCACTCCGGTCAGGTATTTGCCTGCTTAGGCGCTTTGAGTATTTTAGGAAGACTTGATACAGTTGACAAAGATAAGCTGGGTGGATGGTTAAGTGAAAGACAGGTCGAGGATGGTGGACTGAATGGCCGACCGGAGAAACTAGAAGATGTTTGCTATAGCTGGTGGGTGGGATGTAGCTTGACCATAATCGAGAGACTGCACTGGATTGATGGTGAAAAGCTTGCAGCATTCATTCTAAGATGTCAAGATACTGAGCTGGGAGGATTCGCAGACCGTCCAGGAGATGCTGTTGACGTTTTTCACACTGTGTTTGGATTGGCCGGATTGAGTCTATTGGGATTTCCAGGACTAGAAGAAGTAGATGCCGTTTAGTAAGTGCTCATACCTTAAACAAAACTTTATCTAACTTGAATTTAGTTGTATGCCGAAGAAGATTGTTAAGCGAGTGCTTGAGACTGTAGACAAGTTATGAAAGATTGGCTACCTTTCATTATAAAAAATATTTAGTTGCTAGCTAGTTATCATGTGGTCAAGCTTAATCTAGACACTTAAACTTTTGTTTGTTTGTCTGTTTATTTGCTTTTCTGTTTATTTGCTTTTCTGTTTATTTTTTGTTTATTTTTGTTTATTCGTTTGTCATTTTACATTTTACAGTAACCAGCAACGAAGTTCTTGCTCAATTACTATGTTTATTTTAGTTTTTTTTAGCAAATTAACAGTTTCTGCTTTTTCATTTCCAATAATTAATCAGAGTTCTATAGTTGTCAACATTTTCATGTGATTTTTGACAACAGTTATCAGGTTTTTCTCTGATCTACCCAGCAAATCAGCCTTGATTCTTGATTGAGAAAAAGTAGAATAGATTTAATCATGCTAAAAATAAGAACAACTATCTCAATAGTTCTGCGATCCATATCCCATCATACTCATCCAAAATGAGCCCCATTAGTCACCCAAGAAGTTTGTCGCTTCTATATCAATATTTCTTGATTTTGCCCAATTAAAATAACTACTACTTTCCAGAGATTCTCTTTCTCTTTCCCCTCTATAATCAGCTTATTACCTTGAAGTCAGACCAAAAAATCAATTAATGACTCTAGTTTCACAAATTCCCATGAAGTGGACTGCTTCTTTACTCCTTCCCTGTTCGGCACGCTTCCTCAGCCTCTGTCTTTGTCATGCCAAAGTGGTTGCTCAATAACCATTTAAAACATCAGTTATTCCTTCCTCTACTTGTTTTAAAATTTCATGCTCTTCAAATCTCTCTTTCTTTGCCGGCGTTAATTGTACTGGGCTTCTCGACTGGATTGCTCATTCCCTTGTGATCTGCCATTGGAAAATTAGTAGTAAGTGACTGCCTCAATCTTCCCTACTTCTACTCTGGTTGATTATTTCAGAATTCAATTTGCGTAAAAGGCAAGTTACCAATTTACATATCGTATCTCGATTTCGATATTCATATTCGCTTCTATATTTGTGTGTAATAAATTTTATTTGGATCTTTTCTCTACTATTAATATTCTACTAATACAAATATTCCCTTTAATCAAATATTAACTCTATTATCAGCCTTGATTGGGTCAAATATTCTGATCTCTATTCGACTAAAATGGATTGGGCTACATTGTGGGGAATAATCATCAATTTTTCTCAGAGCTTTCTACTTTCTATCACTTCTTTCAGCACCCGAAATGATTCGAAGCTAATATGATCTATTTCAGAAAAAAACATGCCGAAGCCGAAATCCATGTGCTCTATAGAGCTTCATTGTACTTTATGTCCAAAAAACCCAAAATTTTCTGATGTCTCGCACTTACTCACACACATGTCATCCAAAGGACACCTCGCTCATCGCTTTAAACTTCAAATTAGGTCACAGAGTGAAGTGGAAGCAAAAGAACGGCTCGAAAACTTTGACTTCTGGTACCATAAGAATAATCTCGACTCATTGCTTTCTGATCGCTTAGCAACTAAGGAACAAAAAAAGGGAAGAAGGTTTCGGACATCTTCATGCTCCGTTTCTGTAAGTTTTTGTTTAGACATAAAAATAAAATTTTAATAATATTCTCTCAGAAAAGTAGAAGAAATTCACAATCTGACAGACAAAATTCTATACCCGACGAGCAAAACTCTTTCCGGGCACCTATCCCTCGAATGCATCTATGGCCAACTGCCATGGATGATGCAGAGAATATCAATGACAATAACTGGGAGTCTGACATGCATGAAACAATCTCAAGTGAAGAAATACCTGTTTCGATACTTGCCCAAGAATGCCCGGAAAACCTTGATCCGCAGTCAGTTATTTTCAATATTATTATGATAGTCTTGCTCATATGGTGATGTAGACTCAATGCTCTTTGGAGACCAACTATGGAAGTAGATGAGAAAAGTATCGATGAGTATGATCGTTTAACAGACTGTGCGAAGCTGAAGGGGGTTTTATGGCCCGGAATGGATCTCTTTGATTCTGCAACCCTGGAACAAAAAAGGATGAGAAATCAAAGAAAAGGCAATGACGTTTTGGCAGATATGATATACACTTCAAGACAGGTAGAGCCGGCAGAAGTTAGCTATCATGCCTCTGGTGAATTCAGAGCATCTAGAGATATTTTTGGCCCACTTTCAGGAGATGATAGTCCAGTGGGTTTTACGATGATATATATAGACACATACTAAATAATTAAAGGTTAAGAATCCAACACCAAAAAAGCGGAAACCAGTCCGAAAAGCCTCGGCTCTTGGAGATTTGAGCACAAATGCGCCGCGTATACGAGCCACACGCGCCAAAAAGTGTCACAAACAAACCTCATCTCCTAAGAAGCATTGTGGTCTTGCGACAGTTCAGTTTCAACAAGGCTTGAATCCTTTGACAACCGGGCTTTCGTGCAATCGCAATTTGCAGCCTACAACAGAGGAAGATGAAGAGTTTCGCCTAACATTAAGCGAGGCTATGAACGGTAAAAAGCGTGTTTTCAGCATCTTTCAGGATACACCTGCAAACAGTCCCGGTATTGAACCAATCAATTTCCGCTACTTGTGGATACGAAATCTAACTTTACAAAAGGTCGGACAGAGAGCCCTTTGCAAGATCATCAGTTTGACTTTGCAACTTCTTTGGATCTAGAAGATACGTTTGTTAATGATCGAACTAGCCGAATTCAAGAACAAGCTATTGGTCCCTTTTCTAGTCAAGTTGGCGTACTATCCAATATTATGCCGACATCACCAAGTCCTATTTCCATTCCATCGCAAAATCAATTTTTCTGTTGCAAGGAGAACTGCCGACCCGACACACAGACTACTTCTGCAGGCCCACGAAGTTTATCCTCTTCTCATGTCTATTTACCGCAACTATGTTATGACCCATTGATGAACCCCCTTTATCATCATGGTTATTCTCGATCATATTCATGTGCCTCTCAAGTCAGCAATCCTGAAAGCAAGTCTGTGAAATCTCCTGCCTTTGATGGTGACCTTCAGATACCTAATCCACTGGCCAATTTCCAAGATAACTTAATTGGCTCTCAAAAAAAAACCGTTTCCGACCTACAGTACGAATTATGAAAAAACTGTAAATATATAAAAGCTGCGTTAAAATATTTTATTTTAGGGGTTTGGTTGTTGCCGGCTTCATCTGCCTGTACTTTTATTTTTCAGTTGTTAACTCTATTACTTGTAGCCTTACTCCTATATGATGGATATATAATTTAATTCCTTTGTGCATCAGAAAGTTGACTAAATTACCGGACCACTGTTTTATCGGAGATTCTGGGGAATTTTTAGAAATACACTAATTATTAAAGAATTAAGCTCTATATCTCTGCCAAACTTGAGGCCAGCTCGTCTAAATCTATATCAGTTTCTTTTTTGAAAACAGAATTAATCATCCTTGCGGCACCAATGAGCCTCTTTGTTTTGATAACCATTTCAATTTCGCGTGATTTTACTGCTGCCAAGTCTAAAACAAATTTAGGGATGTGTGCTAACCTTGCAACATTTAGACCATATGAACGATGAGCTACACCCTCGCCTACTTCATAAAGAAATGTCACCTCTTCATGGCCTGTTTCAAAGTTTCTGGTACCACTTTCTAGGCTCTCTGGGTTGCTAGTGGTGAATTTCATATGCACATTTTTCAAGGCTCCATCAGCTTCGAACCTATGAGCTACGGCAGCCAAGCTTTGGTAGTGGGTAATAAATAAGCATAGACACCGTTTTTCTCTAACAATCCAGTCTAGTGTACTTTCAGCAATAGCCACACCGTCTTGAGTACTTGTGCCACGACCTAGCTCGTCAAGGATGACAAGGCTCCGTGGTGTAGCGCATTGCATAATTGCAGCCGTTTCAGAGAGCTCAACGTGAAAAGTAGACTGGCGTGTAAAGATTGAGTCAGCAGCACCCATACGAGTATATATGGCGTCGACGAGGCCAAGACAAGCACTTTCACAAGGTAAGTAAGAGCCGATTTGGGACATAAGAACCAGCAGCGCAATGTGGCGCACATAAGATGATTTTCCGCCCATGTTAGGACCAGTAATGCAGAGAGCGCGCGGGCCATCAGGTGTTGTGGTAAGACGCGTTGTATTAGGGATGTAATCTGTCGTAAGCAGCTGCTCGACCATAGGATGCCGGCCTTGACATATTTCAATGCATGGTGTCGCGGTAAGGTGAGGCCTGTTATAGCCAGGTTGTTGGGCTACACGCGCAAGCGATCCGAGACAATCGAGGGTGGCGAGTGCGTGAATTGTCTCACGAAGCGCCACATAGTGCTGAGCTATGTCGCTGAGAAGCCTGGCGAAAGCAGAATCGCAAGCGGCAGCGAGTGACTCCTTGTGCTGACCACGCTCTTGCAGCATCTGAATTACTTCAGGCGTATGAAAGCGACTGACCTTTTTAGTGCCCGATACTTTGGTCCACGATACCGGAACACGCTTCAGATCACTGTTCGAAATTTCAAATAAGTATTCTATTCCGGCAGCAGTCATATATGGCAAAGGCTTCGACTTTTGGAGGCTTTTAGAAGCACTGTGACGATGAGCATCGAGCTCCTGCTCTACAATGGCAATGCCCATTTTATGGTCAGTTATACTTTCACTTTCATGGTCAGGGTGGAAAAATGCGTATTTATCGTCTGAACGAGCAGCTTCTATACTAATCATAGAAAGAAATTTCGTGACAGTATCATTTATTGGGTGAAGGCTTCTGATTAGAGAACAAAGAAGAGGCGACGTGAATCCAACGTTTTCGTCAGCTTTGACATGACCATATTCAGTAGCAACAGCTTGCAGAGCCTGTAGAACAATTAGAAGCTCTGGGCGCGTGCATTTCCCATAGTAAATTCGAATTAGATTTCGTTCCAAATCGGTCTTAGTATTACGCAGGAGCGAGTGGATCTTGTCGACTTTTAATGTTTGATGGCTATTTTTCAGCTCCTCAACTGCATCGAGTCGCTCCTCGAGTTGGGTTTGGTCGAGAAGCGGACGACCTACCCACTTCCGAAGCAGGCGCCGGCCAAATCTAGTTTGAGTCTTATCCAGCACCCAGAATAAGCTACCCTTTTCAGTATGTTCAGTTTGGTTACGAAAGATCTCTAAACTTGTCAAAGTGTTGCCGTTAAGAAGCATGTGGCTCCGTACGCTGAAGGGTTCGAAGTTTTTTGTTAAGTCAAATACATGGTCTAGTCCATATTCACTAAGGTGTGTAATCATAGCAGACAAGCAGATTTTAACTTTTTCTGGCAACTGAAGTATCTTGTCTTGAAAATTCTGATGTCTCTCTACGCTCCCCGATGTTGGTGGATTCAAATTGTCGTAAAATTGGGAAATATGTGATATTGCCTCGGCAACAAAAGTTTGACCATTGTCTATCCTCTCTACCCGGATTTGTTCGCCGATCGTATTATTTGAAGAGCCGGATAGATTATTGATTATTTTCTCAGTCGTTTTCGTTAACTTTCCGACAATAAGAATTTCACTTGGAGGAAGATGAAGTAATCTAGTCTCAATTTCGCTTCGCAAAAACCCATCTTCAAATGAGTCATATATTATATCACCTGTTGCCGGTTGAACTGCCAGAAGTCCGACATCTACTTTTTCGTCGGTGCCGGATCGCTTCAATTGTGATTCGGCCACACATATTAGATATTCATTTGCTGATGCTCCACCCTCAAGTAAGCTTGATTGATCTTCAAATGTATCAAATTCATCGATGTAAGTTCCTTTAGTGTAGAGACTGGTGAGTTTTCTTGTAAAAGGAGTATTACGATTGTCTCCAGCCTTTTTCAAGGCAGCTGTTTCGACTTGTCGAACTATTCCTATCTTATAGCCCGCTTGCACAAGTCGCCTCGCATGAACAGAGATCCGATGAACGGGTATACTTGCTGAGGCAAATCGATCAAAATGTGACTCAGAAGGATGTTCATCGAATCGAAGTTTTCCAGGTATGCACACTATGCTGAGCTCTCTTGCAGCTATTCTGGCATCTTCTCCGAAAAATTTGAATTTATAACCTACTTCAACAATTAGAATAGTGTCTATATGATCTTTTTTGATTTCAAGAAATTGTATTTCAAGTGGTGTTAGCTTGCCAGCCTTCTTTTTGCCCTTTGACACCGGCAAGTTCCTGCTTTCATCTTCATCTTCACTTTGATCTTCTTCTAACGTAGCTGCTTCTTCATTGTTCTTCCAATTCTGCCCGAGTCTTGCGAGCCCTAATTTTTTGACCCACAGCTCATGTAATTTTTTTCTTTCTGCATTTTCGAGTGTGATTTCTTCTTTTCTCTCGGAAATTTGGTATAACCCAGTAGTTGAAGACAATTTCTTGTACAGATAGTGATCTGTCTGTGATGAGATCTTTGGTGCGATATATCTTGAGCCCTGTGTGCCGAGATTAACGTCAGGCGGTATAGTACGTTCTAAACTCGTTTTGTTGTTGTTCAGACGCTTTGCCGATCTCGCTGTATCTTCAACGTCTTCGTCGACCGAGTTTTCAATAGAAGCAAAGGATCTTTTCGATACTGAGGGGTTGTGGCATGGAAGAAGTATATCGTTACTTCCTGCATCAGGCTTGTCTACTTCATTGGCCAATAGTGGGGGCGAATTAGATAGCACAGTATCATTTATATTTTTACTACTGTTTTTCTTGGCGAAGAACTTAGAGATTGGAGTCTGGCTTTTGGCTTGAGTTGATGGCAATTTACTCATGATCGGCTTAGCTAGAGACAGATCTGTCCAATTTCAATATATAGCGTTGAACGCGTCAGCGACGCGTTCAACGACTAACTAGGATCCCTTGCTTACCCACGAGGCTTAGGGATTTAGAGAGGTGCATCGCAGTTTCGGAATCCAAGAGATGAGCGGATATTCAGAAGACGGCCAAATGGGTTTTTTTTCCATTTTATATGACTAGAGGTGGCTTACAAACGAGAAAGACCGAACACCTGTTCGTGCTGTCCCCTATGACCCTGGGATCGAGATTTTCTCACAAAGTCAATTTTAGCCAAATTTAGCATAACTAAAGAGGTTGGCCCAATGGGCAATAATTTAAGATTCCCTAACTATATCTCTCACTCCAACGGGGTCTATCCCCATCGAAGCATCATCAGCTCTCAAAATTGTCGAACTACAATCTCATCTCAATGACGACACATCTTATTAAATTAGACTCTGGCCCCAAATTTGCCTCCAAGTGCAGGCACACAAAAATATAAATATCCACCGGAAAAAGTTATTTCCAGTACGAAAATCGGGACGAAGTTCTTAAGAATGGATGTGAAAGATTTGAGGACAGGTGGATAAAATGATGCAGAGGAAGAACACAATCTTGACAAGTGTGAGAGTTTGAATTTTGACAAGGAGTTGTACAAGTCAGCTTTGTGCGCGTCGATTACTCGATCGCGAGAATAAGCTGTCACTACAAACATCGCTGTGATTGAATTGTGCGGCGGTACACCATCTAGGTCGGTCTCTCTAGTAAAGTCTGGAAAGCTTAGACACATCTCTCACTTGAGACGGGAGAAGATCGGTTCGAATCCGAGAAAACATAAGCAAATATTTCGCGGCGCTGGTATACATGGATGATGAAGGCATTCTTGGATAATCAAAGGCTTTGAAAAGTCCCTCTGATGGGTACTCACGGAGGAGGGTCAACTCTTTGTGTAAGCAAGCATACCTCATAGTGGTATTTGCGAATTAAACCTAGAATATGAGTGTCTCTAGCGTCAAAAAAGTCATCCGAAATGTTCACATACCATTAATAGTATGTCATGACTGGATAGCTGAAAACACGTTAGATGATTAAAAAATAAAGCCCTTGTCATAAATACACTTCTCACCTATGCACAGTATCCTTTACGAACTTTGAAGTGAAGAATTCTCCCAGAGCCAAGTCCAGACAGATTTCGCAATATCAAAGAAGTTGGCCCATGAGGCAAAAATCCAAATTACTCCTCCACGTCGTTTTTTCGCACCCAACAAGTTTGACTCCTACCTAAGTCTCATCAAGTTTATAAGTACAACCAAGTACATCCTCATCCCAATGACCGCACCTCTCGTCGACCTTCTCTGGCCTCAGCTGGTCACCAAATACACGCCCTCGCCGAAACTTACACCCGACGGAGAAAGCAAGTTGTGGCGCACAAATCTGGTAGACAGTTCTTTGGGATGGGCGTGAGAGGATTCAGGATAAGGTCATAAGATGATGCAAAGGATGGATATAACCTCGAAGGGCGTGAAGTTCTGAATTCTGGCAAGGAGTTTTACGAGTTGAGCTTTGTGCGCGCCAAGACTCCTCTTGCGAGATTGCAGCTGACACACGAAAAACAGGCAACGATGGAAGGTGTTTTGGTCCGCCTCATGGTCGTCATCTCCCAGATTTAAAGTCTAGGTAGTCTGGACGCCTATCTCACTCGAGAAAGGGAGGACTGTGAGGCTATATCTCGCGCGGTACCTATATTCAAGATGTGTCGAATAAGTTATTCGTTATGCGCATAAAAATTAGAATAGATCGGAAGACGAGGTAACAGCCAAGATTGCTAAACATAGGCTGGTTGATGAGAATCACACGAAAGCTTACACGTATGTATGTTGCGAGTAAGGGCTAAGTTTAGGTATACTCAGCCTCGCAATCTTACAAAGCCATTTTAGGCAAATTACATTTTTAATTCGACATCATTCAATTAGAATGACCTAAAATTAGTTGGATGGTCAAGTCTTTTATTTTCCTTATGATCATATTCATTTGTATATATAGATCTGTAGTTCCGGGAAAATAGAATCAAGTTGTTTTTACTGAGTTATCTTTTTCTTCAATCTCAAATACACATCGTCTGCCACAGGTCAGACACCCAGATACCTGACAAGATGACAAAGGCATGTTAGGGTAGCCAAAGGTTTTTCCTGTTTTCTCTATGGTGGATATTAACGGATGACTCAGGGTAAAGCCCTCATTGTCTATTGGAAAAGATCGAAAAAATAGCACATATGAAAACAAGTGAATTTTGGTGGTGTATTGTCTACTTTAGCAGTCCTTCATAGTCATAGACTCATTAGGGACTTAAATTTAATTCTATTCTATTCTATTCTATTAACGGTTGAGAGAAGGGTGAAAGCCCCTAGCACACAGGTCTCGAGTGGTATTAGCGAACGCACCAAGTACATGAGTAGTCCAAATGTCAAGCTGAGTTATTGTCGTATATATTCGTCGGGGAAGGACTTGCCTTCTCCGTGTCAAGCGCTTTGAGTGCTAGGCTTGTACCCGTCACGAATAAATATTCAATGATTCAATCACTCATAACGGATTAATAATAGTGTTAAAGTTTTAATCACGGACCTACGAAATCTGCCGATGTGAATTTTTTTACAGTACAACATAGAATTTAATTATTGCATTTTCTTATAAATCATATACCATATATTCCGCTATCTGGCTATGATACATGTTTGGATTATGTACTGATCAACTATGTCTAGCCTCATTGAGCTATATTGAAAGCTACTGTTCCAATAATTCATGGGGCCATAATCAGGATTGTTAGTAGTTTCGGTTTGGTGTTGGTTATTAGATTGATACCTGAGCGTGGCTCACAGTGGGCAGGCATGCGACCTAAGTAGCAAAATGCACGGTAAATCTCAACCCTAAAATGATGATACGAATCAAGTTTTATATGCTACGTCCTGTATGGCTAGCGTGGTTGGAAAATGGGGAATATACCTGAAGATAGATAAAGACATTGTAGTCCTCTTATATTTGGGATAAGTCTTCTATAAAATTACATCGGAATCAATCCTAGCCTCTCATTAAGCAATCTCATATTTTATTTTCAATGTCTGAGATAACAGACGTACATATACAAAGTCGACAACAACTTTTAAAAGTCGATAGTTTTCACTCCCCCAAACCAGGACTGGAGGCTTGAGCGTCCGCGCGTACTCACATACATCTGGGAAAAAAATACAACCTTCGACCTACTAAGCTGGATAGTAGAGCCTCGCCAGATATAACGGCTCTCCTTCAGTGCTCTCCTCTTGTTGAGTTCATCAACGTCTGCCGGCAATCTCAAGCTCATACGCATGAGAGCCTGAACTGTTGTAATGGAAGTTGTATAGAGAAGCGTAAGCTGTTAGGCTTGTATTTAATATCACCTAGTGAAGCGAGTTGGGAGATTGAAGAGTCTGAAAACTATAGCGGAGAGTTGCTGATTAAACCCAGTTAGTATCAGAGTGCTATTTAAACTAATTACTACATCTAAGTGAAGGACACGATTCACTTGTTTATGCTAAATAATTGGGAGGCTGGTCAATGTATGAGTCGTCATGAATGTGGCTAGTAATAATAGAACCTTATCACGTTCCGTATTAATACACCTCTTCATTGTCAAGTAGCGCCAATTTCAACATGAACCCCCTCCTCAGCTGGCCAGTCAATCCCAACTCCATAATTGTGGGAGATTTTAATCCTCACCATGAATTATGAGAGCTTCATAATTCTCGTTCACTCAGTGTCAGCAGTTTTGTTCACTGGATTGATAATCACTCTTTGAGGTTGGCAGTACCTTATGGAGCTTCTACTCATCGCATCGGACACCTCCTCGACCTTATACTTACGAACATGGAAGGTCTCTCGGCCCGTGTAGACCCCTTGGCTCATTCGATTTCTGACCACGAAATGAATTCTGGCTTCGCTTATCTCTCCGCATTTCGAATGTGCTGTCCAGTAATGAGGTTGCCAAAATTTAGCGTTGAGAGTGTAGAGATATTCCGGCGAGCTTTCTTAGCCACAACACCTCCTAGCCTTCCTATCGAGGACTTGAAACCCCAGCTCCTAGATGCAGTGACCTCCTCGGCCATTTTGCTTGCGACTAACCTGCCGAGGCCTTCATGTGCGCCATGTAAGGACTTTTGGAACCAGAAATGCTCTGAGCTACGCCGACGATATATTGAGACGCATCAAATTGTCGATCCAGGCCTCGTTAGCGAGGCGCATAAAGTGGTTGGATGGCAGACGTTATTCAGACGCTTTAGCCCCCCTCAAGCTCAGTTTCAAAGGGTCATTTATAGTACCCCGACTGAGCGAGTTGATATATTTTTTCGCACGAAGCTTGCTCGGGTAAGCAGGCGACTGGATGGCTTCATATATACTCCTACTTGTCCACAAAAAGTGATCGATGCTCCTCTCTCCATAGATGAAGATGAAGTCCGGCATTGTCTGCTTGTAATATCTTCCATAATCTCATGTCATAATCATCACTCAGTGTCTACTCTTATCTAGGTCCGGAAGATGGATACATAGCGTACATGGATCGTACAACTTTTTAATCTCTGCCTAATTATGGTCGCCACCCCTGTATCTTTCGCCGCGCCGAAGTTGTTGTCATTCCTTAACCTCACAAAGAGGATCTCAATAATCCCGCCAATTAGTGACCGATTTTTCTCCTCCATTCCCAGGAAAGGGCTTGAATGTCTCGTTACGAGACGCTTCGCATTATTGGCTTTGTCCAATAGCATTGTCTTCCCGACAAAATTTGGAGCGCTGCCTGGAAGATCAGCCATGGACCTTGCACTGTGTCTAATTCACGAAGTTCAAAAGGCATGAGAAGCGAAACGGTTGTGTACTCTCGCTACTCTTGACGTCGAAAGCGCTTTTGACAGCATTCAGCCTGGGCGTCTCTCCGCCCGCCTGCGCGAACGAGGATAACCCTCACCATACGTCGATTGGGCTGCATGATTTGTCTCGCATAGGAAAACTGGTCTCCGAGTGAACAATTTTGTAGGGACTTCTTGGAAATTCCGCATGACTTGCCCCAGGGGTCTCCTTCACCTATACTTTTCCTTCTATTCCTCGAACCCTTTTTTAAATTTGGATTTCCTACTTTTGGATACGTTGATGATGTGTCAATCCTTTCGATCGCCAAGACTCTGGTCGAATCTTCATGTCTGACTGCCAGTAGAGTTGAGACTATTACCCAATGGTGTAATTCTGATGGACCATCTTTGGCTGATGACAAGATGGAGATACTACACCTTCACAAATCCCATCAGCCCTCTTCTCCGCTAATCATTAACGGCGTCTTGTGAGATTTTAAATCAGCTGCGAAGTGGTTAGGTGTCTTCCTTGAAACTGAGCTCTCTTTCAAAAAGCGTGAAAAAATGGAGAGACAAGACTCAAGGGATCAGCGCCCACATACGCTAGCTTGAAAACATCAACCGTTGTGTATCCACTGCATTCCTTTGTGCAGCAGCTCTGGCTGCAGCGCTACCAGTACTGCTATGTGGTTCTGAGTCTAGCGGCGTTGTCACACTTACAACTGTCACGGACTCCCAACTTCTACTCTGTCGCAATATCTTGTAGCCACGGTCTCATGAGCTCTAGTCATTTTGGCCCGAGCAATACTCCCAGTCTACAAAACTATTTCAACTGAAGCACTCTTAAGAGAGGCATGGCTCAAGCCGGCATATATACTACTTGAGGAGACACGACTCCACTCAGCTGTGAGATTAGCCAGCGTGGATATCTTCTATCCTTTGGTCAAAAGATCTAGAGACCTCCGGGCACATACCCGCCTTACGGGAAAACTAAAGCTACTTCCTCCTTTACCTCATCCGTGGCTCTTTTTTTTGCATTAGATTTTAATTGCGTATACAGCAATCTAGCTATGACACAATATCAGAGAAGTGTATAATAGATGATTCAATTTACAAGAAGATCACTCATGCCTCGGATTTAATTTGGAAGTACCACTGCGAAGTTATGGTGGCTTTTTCTTCACCCCAACTCAACCCTCATCCGTGAATACCCACCTAATGAAACGCCTCAAAAACCCTGGGTTATCCAGAAATGTCTTTATCAACCATTGACTTTTCTCCGCGCGAAGTATGATCTGAGATGTCTCCTTCCCAAGTGGAATTCATCCATGACTCACAGCGCCGTCCCACAGAGCCTATCTTAATCTCAATCGATTAGACTTTTCAGCCTATGAATTTTCCGGGCGAATTAAAGAGCTGCTAACATGGGACATCCTTGTCTTCTCAGATGGCTTAAAACGACAATATGGTTCTGTTGGTGCAGGTACCGTCGCTCTTCATAGACATCATGATAGTTGAGGTGATAGTACTACTGAGTCCCGACTTTGAAGCCTCTTCCTCAAAATCATCGCATCAAGAGATTTTGGAATTCCGGAATGTCGCGGCTCAGTGGCCAACGAGGAAGATTCTGCTAATCGTAGCTCCTGGAAATGTTCATGTGATATAGTCTCCCGACCATATTGGCATCTCAGATAATGATAAAGTCGACAAGCTGGACAAAGAGGCTGCACACCTCCTCACTCCTCTTGCTGATTCTCTTTCCGAGGCCCGCGCAAAGACTTAAATACATATATGAAACCTAACTACCGCTTGGAGGCAATATCATGCTTCCTTCACCTATTGTAAGTTGGGGATGCCATTTAACAAGAAGTCTGACGAAGAGCCTCGGCTTCCGCGCCGCCATTTAGTGTCACAGACTAAGGGCCTATCCTGAGTCAATAGGAACTATGTACAAAGATATGTATGCTATTCTGCTCTATTCCATTTTATTTCGTTTCGTTCTGTTCTGACCTGTACTTGTCTATACTATTCTATTCCACTACATTCTATTCTGTATGAGAGTATACTGGAAAGATCGAGAACAATAGAGAGGTATATATAATGGGTAATTGGGATGACTCTGGTTCGGCAGATTATGGTCTTGTATCTTAGGAACCTATTTGATAATCTTGAATACCTTTGCACATTGCTCTATTGAACATCTGAACTCTTGTCTTTTCAACTCTTCGACCTCTAGACGCCCATCGACCTCTTGAACCATTGACCTGACGAATTACTGACCCTCAGAAGCACTCCTGTTATTGACATTTAGGGTACTTAATCCAGTGCCTAACTGGACACGGCGACTTTCGCGCCTTTCATGACTTGTTCCTGTGGAAGTGATAAGTCTGCAACCCATTTAGTTTTCTGTCTCCTTGTCCGACAGAGACTGACGTCTAATGGTCACCATCGTAGCTTGGGTAATCTCAAATCTCTTCTGGGCACTTTCCCTGGTGCTAAAAGTTTTTCCTTTACATTGGAGAAGACCAGATTTCTGTCGGAAGTCAGCCCGATCCGTGCTGTTTGACGTATTTCATGTGAGGGATTTGCTGTAAAGCGCTCGCAATATCTTTAGGGATTTTCTGCTCAAGGTTTTCTGCCTCCACACAAAATGCATTTTGAATATAAGATTTATTAGTCACCATGCCCCCTCCAGAGATCGGGCTGTAGTTGTAAGGAAATCCCGGTGGACCATAAAAATACAGAAATAAAATAACACTAACAACCCGGCGTTCTCTAAAATCTTACTTAGATTCGATTTGCATGTCCTAAATGCCGTGGGGTGCTGACAGAGGGAATTTTTGTTTAACCCTTTGATCATTTTCGATGGAGATTTAGCTCCGCTGAAAGTATGATCTCCCAAATGTTCCTAACCCTTACGACCCGACGTAGTCACACATCACGTCATTCTGATCAAACTGATTCAACTCTTGCTCGTGACTGAAATTTGACTTGGATAAACGTGTTTAGTTATGTCTTTGTGGGGGATAATGCTTACAGGCATTACGCATTCATCCTTTAAATGGTATATTGTTTTTATTATCAGCAAATTAAGTTCGCTGATGAGCCAAATCATTATTAGTATCGTGTTGAAAACGAAGATTCCAACATCCTATTTTCCTCAAACACGGGTCTAGTTCGAGGGGTGTTTATCTTACAGCTGATACACCAGGGAAATCCATAGGTATTATTGCGTACTTAAGAAGGAAATAAACATAACAGACTTTTTAATAGGAAAGAATTGTAGCTGTTGTTCTGATGGAGTTAGATTTGCGGGTAAAATCGTAGTTTAAATACAGCGAGACAAGACGATAATTGATCGGGAAATTTCTCAAAAACCAGTCCCAGCCCAGACTTAACTGTGCAGAATACTTTGAAGGGAATTGAAGCATAGTTTATGATATTGGGCTCCATATAGAACTACATTTAGACTAGGTATTGCTATGAGACTCTCCATGGAAAATTAGGGGTATTAAATTATTCTTATAGTGAAGGAGCGGCCCGGAGTTCTTCATGACATTGCAGTTACCGGATTTTTTGCAAATACGCAATACTGCCAATGGTCCCTAATCCAAATAAAATTTACAAGGCATTTAACCAAAATGAGCTACAAAGGCTACATTTCTAAGCTGGGCTCCCGTGCCGTATGAACAGCGCCCGTGGCAATGAAAACAAGTCTTGTTCCGTTACCTGCTGTCTGCCAAACCTAGATTAAGTGAATGTCAGAAAAGTCTTAATATAGTCTTGGAAGTTGTTTTCAGACTTACATCTAATTCAGTATATTCGAGAACAGCATTCTGCCACTGATCCCGTGTGAATCCTTTTGCAATTATCCTTTCTTCAACCTTTCGCATACTCAGCTCCATGTCTCCATCTTCAGCATCATCATTGGAATCATCAGGTCGGCATTGGCCACTTTCGGCTAGAGTTCGTACCATGTTATAGATACGAGATGTTGGCGACATATCCCGTCCAATTCCATCCTGTGACTGGTATAAACTCTCTTTTGAAGCTTCAATTATCCTTAAGGCCTCGTCAACATCATCTTGTAGAACTTCCTCGGAGAATCGAAGACGTGCCAGCGCCTGAGCTAGTCGAAGGATTCCCAGGAGGGTTCGCGGAGATGTGTGTGTGAATTGTTTCTTATTCTTCTCATCACGTAGTTGTTGTTCGCGCATCCGTACATAGGCTTTGACCATGTATTCAGAGACTGTTGTTGGTACAATCGGTCGATACAATCGTGCTTGAGCAATATACTGCCGTACCTCATGGGGCGTAAAAACCACACCGTCATTATCAGGATGACGATTATTCATGTGCACGTAAGTAACGTGGCGAGCGAGCATGGCATCATTATCCCGCGATGGTGTATCAAGAATAAGAAATAAAACGTCGAAACGAGATAGAAGAGCTGCCGGAAGATTGATATTTTCGACCGGAGAGATACGAGGATTATAACGCCCATAAAGCGGATTGGCTGCAGCAAGTATAGAAGTACGTGCGTTCAGAGTGGTAGATATCCCGGCCTTAGAAATGGAGATTGTTTGTTGTTCCATGACTTCATGGATTGCAGTGCGGTCGCTATCATCCATCTTGTCAAATTCATCTATACAACATATACCATTATCAGCAAGAACCAGGGCTCCACCTTCAAGAACCATCTCATCGGTGACGGGATCTCTCATAACAGCCGCAGTAAGACCGACTCCACTGGATCCTCGACCGGTAGTATATACTCCACGGGGTGCAACCTTCGTGATATACTTGAGCAACTGTGACTTAGCAACACCAGGGTCACCCATAAGGCATATGTTTATATCTCCTCTAATTCTCATCCCATCACCCATTTCCTTTGTCACGCCACCAACTAATAAAAGAAGGAGCGCTTTCTTAACATCTAGATGCCCATATATTTCCGGCGCAATTGAGTTTGCGAGGTACTCGTAAATGTGTCCAGAGATTCGGTATTGATCTATTCGTTTAAATACTCTATTATCCATGGCTAGATCCTCATAAGCTTTTTTATGTTGGGTTACATATTGTGCCTCCAAATATGTGTCTGTCAGAAGACCTGCCCTGATGGCTTTAAATCCAGTATATGGGGTTGGTAGAAAAATTCCTGCAATGTCGACTGTGTCTCCAGGATTTATCTTTCGGACGAGAGCTCCGTGACACATAACAGTTAACATTCGAGGAATGTGACCAATGGGTACCTGTTCTGCCATTTCTTGAATCTTCACTTCTTGGAAAGGCTGAAATTTCGAGGCTCGGGTAGAGTGGTGCAGTTGACCTTTAGACTGGTTTCTTTCACAGTCTTTTGAAGGACATTCGGTGAGAGGTCCGAAGGTTTTGGATCCCACTGGTTGGAAAATCTCACACCCACATCGATCACAGGTATATGCATTAACTTCCACAGTAGGCTTGACATCTGAAACTCGGGTTGCGATTCCACGCACAGTGATCATATGACCTAAATGTTCTCCTCGTACTTGACGCACTGCCAATGCTTTTATTGGCTCATTCCCATTCATTCTTGGTTTAAAGTTCAAAGAATATCGACGCATAAGCTCAGCAGGGAAAAGTTCTGGTTGCTCTTGGAGTTCAGGCTGTTGCGCTGCTGCGAGTAGAAGGACATTATTTCGGGCGGTGCGTTGAGTCATGAGTACATCTAATACATCATCTTTGTGGCTGTCTCTGACAGTTAGCAATACTTTCATGAGAACCTTTTATTTTGCATACTTGATTTCCCTTGTAGGTAATGGCATCATATTGTCTACTGCTCTCGCCATAATTTCGAGATAATGCTTGGCATTTTTTTCAATAGATGATACTAGGCCCATGTGAACACCATTATCTTCTAGCTGTTGATCATACTTGGATAATATCAGCTTTAGTTTCATCTAAGCTTTTGAATCACGTACCTGGGCCAAGTCATCTAAATCGATTGTTATTTCGTCTTCAAACCTATCTGATATTTTTTGTAGCAGATCCATATACTTAAGTTTGGGTTGTATATTGAAATGCCTTTCTTTTTGGAATTCTTCGGGCGCTTCATTGTCATTGATAGTAGAGTTATTGTCATCACTGAAAAAATCATCTTCAATATTCATTTCGTTCAAAGCGTGATCGAGACTGCGTGTTGGGGCGCTTTTAAAGCTAGAAATAAATTCTTCAAGAGCCTCTTCATTTGGTCAGTAACTAGATACTTGTAGGTGAGAAATGTTGCAAACTTTGATGCTCGTCGTAGTCTACAGGCGCCCGGAATTGAAGGAGCGCCATGTTGCGCGTCTCCCATTAACTGGTGAAGGCCCCAACAGTCGTAATTGTTCACCAGGACAGTTTTTTGTACTGAATTAACCAAGTAAACGCTTGATCACGCGTGAGTTCGGACTGAAAGAAGCAGTGCAATTGAAGATTTTTGTCATTGATGTTAGTCACGCAAAGTCATAACGCGAAATGACATCTCCATATGATTCACCGCCTAGCACGCTTATCGGGTTTCTGCAGCAACCGCAATGTTAGCCGCCAATTTAAGTGTAAAACCATATTGATATATTTCGGATTGCATTGTGACAGGATCAAATTGCAAGCTACACCAGATAAGCTTAGTATTTTTTAAACAACATTACAGATAACCACAAATGGTAATCGTTTGGATTGCTTGAGAGGGGAGATCATTAAGGGCAAAGGACCAACGGCTCCAGGTTGTGAGTGATCAAATAAGGACATTTAAAATGTTAAATTAATCGATGGGAGCTGTATAAGAGACATAGGAGGAAATAAACTAATAGTATAGGTATCCTTGGTTTGTAGGCGGAGATGACACGCATGTTTTTACACAGGCATAGACTTAATAGGTCAATAAACACAGAACAAACAAACTAATGATTCGAGAAATTCGAAAATTCCCTTTTTCCTACACTCCACCTCTCTCAATCTCGTCACATATATCTCTGAATTGTAATCGAGCTCAGGTATTTTCACCATGCCTACAGTTCGAAAAAAGCGTCCAAATATCTTGTTGGAAAACACTAGAGTCCTCCCGAGGGCCCTCGCACAGTCGCCTGGCCTTGCCCAGTCTCCATAATGCGTGGAGATGAGCAAGGTCTCGATTAAAGGGAAGGAAAAAGCCCTCCCCGCCGTCGCTGAGTTCGATACTGACATGATCGGGTCAGTAGAAATTATTTTGGAAATTCCTCAATTAGCCTCCGTCCCCCACGGGATTGGAGAATCATCCAAATCTCCTCCGACCGAACCCAAACCATCGGAGAAAGCTGCACCGAAAGCAGCTTCAACGAAAGAGTCGCAGCCTCAAGCTGCCACTAAAACATAATGCCCTTTGGAACTTCGACCAATTGTCGAAGCTGAACAACGACGCGCCGCAGAAACAGCGGCAAATCTGGCACTCTGTTCCGTCGCCATCTCTGGCGTCCAAGCAACCCCTCTTCCTTTGACCAACGGGTCAAATAGACTACTCCTAGACTCCATGAGAGTCCACCTACGCGCTGCCATTGCGTAATACATGGCCACGGATCCGGCGACTACGCCACCTGTCCTTCCTCCTCGCCCAGCGAACCCTCCAAGAGCTCCTGACGCTAGAAGTCCAATCACATCCGCCGTCCCACCACTGTCTGTCAAAAGTACCTGAGCCACGGTAGCCAGAAACGGACTGCGACAGAAAGCAGTCCCAACTGTAAAGGCTGTGCCGCAGCCTGCGGCCAAGACCCCAAAGAAAGACGCCCCAAAGGCGAAAGTCAACAAACGACTCTTCGTTCGCCTCGGCAGCGATCACCCGTGGCGCAAGCTCTCACTTTGCACTGTACGGGGAAAAGTATAGGATGGGCTGCAGTGCCCCGTAGGGATTGCCAGCTCTCTACACCGAACTAGAACCGGCTCTGCGACTCTAACAAAAGATGAAAATACCAGGGAAAGGTTCCTAGATGCCGCACCTAAATTGTCGAATTTCAACGCCTAGCTCGAGGAAGCCTCCAAACTTGTCGCCTTTCGAATTCCGAATGTTCCCGCGACCATAAAATAACCGACGGTATTAGTACGGTTGATCCTGACTCGGTCAGAGCCCAGATTTACCTTCGAACCGGAAAGGTGACAATCCAGGTACGACCGCACGGGACATGCCGTCCTGGGGCACCGTACAAAAATTTGCAAGCTCTTTTTGCCCAGGACTCCACCCCTCGTGCGGGCTTCCGCATTATCGATGAGTCTGGAGAGGCTGCAAAGATCCGGCCTCGTCGAACAATCGAACAGTATAAACGCTGTTTGGGCTTTCACGCCACTCGTAGTTGCTCCAGCATGCTGAAACTGGGGATCCAATATGCTCTCTGAAGCCGAGTGCAAGACCCTCACAAGGTGTCGCAACTGTGGGGGACCCCACCGATCGGATTCTCTGGACTGCAAAGTCAGACCCAAAAAATCCGGACCGGTGACCAATGAGCAGCTCGCGCGGATCCACCAGATCGAGCAATGGAAGTTTACGAAGGTGGAACGAGCTAGGGCTGCAGCCAAATACGCCGAAGAGGCGATCATCGCCGCTGCGAAGGATGTCGCAATGGCTGAGGCAACAGGTTTCGGAGTGCTGGGATCTGAAGAAGAAGTTTGAGGACACAGCAACCTCGACGATGTCCTCTTTTGGGGCATCTAGTAACCAATAGCAGGATACCGGCTGGATAAAAGGAGCCTGCTAACCCATCTGTTGCTCTCAGCTGAGAATGGGCAAATTTGTCATCTGCAAGGTGTGGCGGACGAGGGAATGTGTGAGGAGTGCATTGCTTGGGTCCAACATGGAGGAATCTTCGGGTATTCGGAGTTGTTTTGATTTTCTTGATTTTTCGTTTCTGTTTAATCAGCTGCACCTTTGGCAGCGATTCACGAGGTTGGAACGAGTTAGGCTGTAGGAAAAGTTACAGGGAACCCTGTCGCCGTATCAGTTGGTGTTGGTATACAGCAGAGCAAGTCCAAAATAAATCAGTTAATTAATGAAATCTCGAGAAAGAAGATTTCCTACTTCTCGTTGTATACATAGGGAATTGTAATTGTCAGCGCTGATCATAACGATCTATGTTGCAAAGCAACCATATCCAGACCGCAACATTGGTAGCCCCCGTAGCTGACTAGGCCCTATATTCCATCCCTACCGTACTGGCGAAGACAGTACAAACACAAGGGATTTACCCCGTAACAAACCCTGCCGGATCTGCCGGTCCTTGACCCAATGTGGATAAAGTGCTTTAGCTCGGGACCCATTCGTAATACAATACAATCAACCTCAATGATTAAGGAGTCATTTTTCCTCGAAACAGCATGCAAAAAACAAGTAAATAAGCGTACATTAAAGATAAGCAGACCACAAGGGTAACCGAGAACAGGCACGCCAAGAATCGAAAGCTAGATACTGAAGAATAGACCAAATTTTGTGGCATGGAGAATGCAAAATGTAGACAAAGAGATGCCGGTAAGGTGGCTACGTTCCAGAAGTGAAAAAACTCATAGACACGTCAAGGGAACGAGAAATTATCTGATCATCAAGCTTCGGCAGACCTTGAAGATTGGAAAAACACAAATATTGTCACAGATGAGACAACAGTCAGAAAAAGGATAACCTGTAATAACAAACCATCAAATATCCACGGGAACATTTGTAGGGCCCAAGGCAGTAACTTAATATAGTTAAGAAGTGAGCATATTGGCCTCAACTTTTATCTGTACAGAGGAAGGATCCCCGGAGTGGCGAATCCTAAATGCCATTGTGGATATCTGCCTCAAAACGTGAGACATATGGTCCTAGCTTGTCCACAGCGGGCTAAGGGAAGAAAGAAGGTGCTTCGAAAGGCAAAAGTTAGATCTTTTGCGGCAATGCTGAACAGCTTAAATGATATGGAGATAATGACATAATTGATCTTGGCAAACGGCTGCTTCAAACAGTTTCGGCTCGCATGAGAAGTAGGAATTGCATTCGACGAAAAGATGAGACGATTTGGACAAGGATAGGACGGAATTAACACTGTATGAACAGAGTAAAAGCACTTTCTACAGGAAACCTCTGAAAATCCAATAGAAATGAGATGGACAGTTTTGGAGGTTTTACTGAAAAGATTTCATTCTGTGTAAATATTACAGCTATACATACCTGCATGGGCCTACATGATTCCTGAGCGGGCTAAATGAAATAAAATCAAAAAATTTATGTGTTGTTGTTGTTTTTGTTTTTGTTGGATTTTTAAAGTCCTGAGCTGAAGTAAAAAGCTCTACATCCTACTATTGGTACAGGACCGGTGGAGCCGGTAAGGATCACCATATACAAGCCAAACTCATTCCGAACGCATAAACTTCCACATATATAATGGTGTTAACAGCAAAACTAAAATCAAATTCGGAAGAAATCCCAATTAAGTCCGGATCCTGCGCTTCTAGCCCGTTCCCTTACCTGTCACATCTTCTAAGTGACAATTTCTGATCTTCGCTGAGAGCAGAAGATGAGCTTGCAGGCACCTTTGTACAGCCGGTGTCCTACTATTAGTGTGTTGAAGCCTCGACGACTTCACTGAAACTCGCCGTAACCTTAAACCTTTTCTTCAGATTCCAGAATCACACAACCCGATCCGTCTGAAATGTAGACATCGTTCTTCGAGCCGTAAATCAACTGAATGGCTATTTCGGCTGCAGCTTTGACACGAGCATAATTTGCATTATGTTGGAAAATATACTCTGTACGATATTATATGGATAAATATGATGAAGTAAAGAAGACTTGATATTTTACAACTATGGGAACATTGGACTTATATATACATCTAAGGGAGAAATTCCCGCTAGCCTCGTGTGCCTGTCAAACCTAGTGATGACTAGCCACCTCTCATCTACCATGATGAGCCAAGGTACACTGTAGTACGTAAATATCCAAACGTATAGGCGACAGTAGGCGCGATTAGCGTACTCAGGACATTTGTAGAGAGAGTCGATCTTGTCGGGAACCTGAGACGAAACAGGTAATGATTGAGTCCTAAATTCGAGAGTCAGAATTTCCAACACATTATTTTTCTTCTTGGCCTTGCGAATTATCGCGAGCTGCTCTTATTTCATCGGGCCGAACTTGCTGGGTCTAGATTTGCAGGACCGCGAATCCGATCTATGAGGTTCCCCATAGCTTCGACACCGTATGGGGGCTTTGCGCTCCGCTTCCGACTGCATTTTTGATCCACAGTTCCTGTAAGCCGGAGCGCGGGAGCAATCGCGAGAGGCATGAAAGCCAAGAAATCGTTTGC